TTCGTGGCAACCTTCTTGGCCTTGGTAGCCTTCATTGCCTTTGCAGGGGCCATGTCTTCGAAGGATCTACAGTGAAATGTCGCAAATGCACAGCTTGAGCCAGATCAACTGGTACGCGCGCAGTAACTTTTGTTTTTTGGAAGCCAAAGTGAACATGCTTGACGAATTCGCTCCGTGGAAGAGCGCATCATGCTAGCTTTGGAAGCCTGAACTAGTCATTCACAAATTTCACCCCTACGCTATCAAGTTATGAACGCTATCAAGCACTTTACGCTATCAAGCTATGAACTAGTTACAGCTCTTGTATGTTCCCCTTCCGAATCCTTGCCTCCTGGTATTGGTTTTGCACCAAGCTTTGGCAGTAGACCAATGCCGCCGTGGTGGCCGCTGCTGCAAAGGCACTAATGGCCTGGCAGAAAAATCCATGGAAATATGATGAAATATGATTGTGTCAAAGGCCACAAGCGGTTGAGCGAAAGCTAGAAAAACGAAGGGGGGCCAACGAGATGTCCAAGAATACATACCAGTGGAATGAGGGGCGACAGTGGTAGAGCCGTACCGCCAGCGGCTTTTCCACTGCGTTTGGCCAGTATATTGCCGGTGTTGCCGGGTGCTAGGTATCACTGATGAAGCGTAAGTTGCTACTGTAGCTTCGATGTAATGTTTACCGGAGGTAAAACGGTGGTGGTTCTTGGCAGTGAAATGGCAGGGTGCTACTACCAGTCAATGTGGGCACTGGCGGGTTATGCTTGCACCTCTTGCGATGTGGTAGGTAGGCTCTTTTGAGTGATGGTGTGTTTGTAGCACGTTCTAAGTGTGACGTGATGGCAGATTTGTACCTCAGCTGCAGTTTCCACTTACTTGGCCAAAAAATGCAGTCCATCTAGTGCGTCGTGCATTGTAACCTGGGACCGACTCACAAACACGACCAGAACTGACCCATGCTCAAGGTGAGCCCAGCGAGTGGGCAGTTACGTTTGACAAAATCAATTCGGTCCGCGAACTGTCCTGACCCATTCTTGCTGCCACAACCTCTTAGCAAGAGCTTGTCAGAACGTGGATGACAATGTCGGCTCCGCCTCCGGATTCTTGAAGGATGCATCCTACAAGGATCATTCTTGGCTTGTGGAAGCCTCCATGAAACATCTCAACCCGTCCTGCGAGCCAGTCCTGAGTTTCCAACTTGTTGTGCACTAACCAAGAAATGCACTTGTTTCCAATAGCTTCTTGTTACTAGTAGCGATGCACTTGTTCCTAGTAGCTTATTGTTTCGTTTCTAATAACCAAGAAATTTACGCTCTCAATTTGATGCTTGGCTGGGTATTGAGATTCAGGCTCGGCTGTGTGCTGGATTTGCTGCTGCACATGCTGCTGCACAGCATACATCACCTGTGTGGGAAGAAAGAGAGGGAACCACGACCTTTGTTGCAAAGTGGAGCTTGAACTGCCCGCGTCTCACCGGACATCTGCAGGTCTAAAGGCATTGCATCTTGCTCGTTTTGGAATGACCTGCTGCTGAATTTGGCTCTGCAATTGCATTTGCATCTGCTGCTGCATTTGCATCCTTGGCACGGAGACAGTGGAGATGAACGTGTTTCACAAACTCACACTAGTAGTAATGCACTTGTTACTAGTAGGGATGCCCTTTGTTCCTGGTAGCTTCTTGTTACTAGTAGCGATGCCAGGAGCCCCTAGTAGCATCCTTGCTCCTAGTATCCTTCGAGGGCCATCAGGGTATGGCCTTCGCCTGCCTTGAAACTGTCATGACTTTTTCGCCGCGGCGCTGTTGCATATACGGCGGATACTGCCTTGGCGGCACCACCCGTGCTGTTCAAAAGCAAAGAAATACACCTGATCAGAAAAGTTTCGAGAAAACTGCTCACTCAAACAGCTGGGAGTACATCGACACCCCTTCACATCGATTCACACAAGGTCTTTCTAGAATCCAGATGTCCTTTCCATGACCCGTTCCTGCACTCAGGCCCCAGCACTGGTGGCTCCTGAAACTAAAGATGCCCTTTGCTCCGTAGTTTCTTGCCCCTAGTAGCTTCTTCTTACAACTAGTAAGGCCCTTGCTCCTAGTAGCGATGCACTTGTTCCTAGTAGCTTCTTCTTACTAGTAAGAATGCTACTAGTAGTACGGCCAGGAGCCCCTAGTAGCGTCCTTGCTCCTAGTAGCGATGCCCTTTGCTCCTAGTAGCAAACTGGTGGCTCCAACGCAAGGAACGGCTTCAAGGAACGGCTTCCTCTTCCGATGGCTTCTGTTTGTTGTGAAGCAGTAAAGTAGCAACGGTAGGGGCATCCTACAAACTGTTGAGTCTTCCTGTCTTGTTTCAAAATTGCCTTGGCTGCCTATGTCAAGTCCCGGCCATCCTCGTTTGTCCCAGTCTGGCACAAGCCAAGCGCCTCCTGCACAGAGTGTGGCACAGTGTGCTGTACGTCAATAATGCAAGGAAGTGTCACTCCAAGAAGCTCGTTATGAATCGAGTCTATTGTTGGTGAATCATAGATGTCACTTAGAACACAGACGACCTTCAACTTCAATGTTGGTATGTATGGAACTTCCACCGGCACGGTCCAATACACAAGGTAGATCAGGAGAGTTCATCGTCAATGAATCGAATTCCTGGCGTGTCCTTGTTCCCTTCATGGTCAGTCTCATTTGTGTCAACTCCTATCTTGAGGCTTCACAGGAACAAAGCTCCTGCACTACAGATCCATGAAAAGTTGTCTGAGAAGGACCAAGAGCTTCTAGGTTGGAGACCACTGCTATTAGGTTAAGAGAAGGGCATTTCGTCACTTTGTTTGGGGGTCTCTCTTCCACATCCGAACTCTTTGGCCCAGCGGCAAAGACAGGATCAGCAGAGGGCTCCATGACCTGCGAGTTTCACTGCGAGAAACCCAATTGGCTGAGCGGAAAGCATGGAAAATCGCCACACCTCTCAGCAAAACCAGTAACAAGAAGCTACTAGGAACAAGTGCCACGCTAGTAGTAACAGGTGCCTTACTAGTAGTAACAAGAAGCTACTAGGAACAAGTGCCCACGGATTGAAAGGACGAACAAAGATTTTGTTACTAGTAGCGATGCACTTGTTCCTAGAAGCGATGCACTTGTTTCTACTAGCTTCTTGTTACTACTAGTAAGGCACCTGTTACTACTAGCGTGGCACTTGTTCCTAGTAGCTCCACATCTGGTCTGTTAGGAAAAACGTGGAAAATCCCTGCATCCATTTTGAGGTCAAGAGCCTATCCTCCTAACTGATTATTTCTACAGTCCACCAAAAGGATTGGCGAGAAGAAAAGAAACACACTTGTTCCGCTGCAAAACTCTTTCTGAGATTTGCTCTCACTTACCTCTTAACGTCTTCTTTGACATATGGAAAGCTCACCTCAGTGGTGTTTGTTGTGGTGAACTTAAAACCATTCCGTCAGTTTGCCTGCAGCCTCCTCCAACATCCTAAACAATTTTATGATGTTCAAACGGCGAACAAGAACGCTTTTGAACAAGTAACAACCAGAATCACCAAGCTCGAGTTGCTCGTAGTGCCTTGCCGCTGTGTCTTCTAAGCCAGGACAAATCACAAAAAGCGATATTTGTCAACCTTGAAAAGGTATGACTGCAGAACGAAAGAAGCGAATTGAGACAAAGTAGCAAGGAGTAGCAAGACAGCCCTATTGCTTGCAGTAGCTAGGGGTAGAACGGGTCAACTCTCTCTAGGTAAATTAACATATCCAAAAACATAACAATCCACAGTGCAGCTTTGTTCGTCTTCGAGATGCCGCTGGACACATCGTGCCCTGGGCCAGCGTCCAAAAGTTCTTAAAATACCAAAATTTTGGCGTTGTGAGGCTGTCTCAAAAGTTGGTACCCTTGCCACCCCAGACTTTCTGGAATCCACTGTGCCAAGCGTCGCCTTTTGGAGAACTTGAGAATCATGAACTGTTGACAGCTTGTCTTGGTCGCTGTGGGCAAACAAATCCCATTGAACCTTCGGACAAACGAAGTTTGTGGAGATTGAGACAGCCCCATCTGGTCTCCAGATCTGCCACATGCAGAAACACCGGCTGTCTAGTGACGCTAGCGGGCAGGATGGAGTGAAACAGCTGCACAGTGGCTTGTGTTGGTTGGTTTGCAAGCTTTCAGCTAGATTCATCTGGGACTTCGGGGTTCCTCAAAAAAATATCCTTTGTTGTTGTTGTTGTTGTTTTACTGGATATTGAAGCTTTCACCTCCATAGATTGACTGGCGGCTTCCCAAACTAGTTGTTGACTCCGAGAATAACAACAAGAACATGCAAGAGCACCTTCCTAACTAATCATATACCCTGGTCAAGAAAGCTCTCTTGGACCTTATTGTCAAGCTAGCTTTCAAGTCTCGGACTTGACTTCATCATGCCTCATGATGCCTCATGTGTCTAACAGGGAAAAAAATTGATGCATTCATGCAACGCTAAATGGAGATCTCAAAGCAATTAATTCTACTTGCAGAAACAAGAAAGCTACTAGTAACAAGAGCATCGCTTCTAGTAATAAGTGCCTTACGAGTAGTAACAAGAAGCTAGTAGGAACAAGTGCATCGCTTCTAGGAACAAGTGCCTTACGAGTAGGAACAAGGACGCTAGTAGGAAC